CTAAGTCATATACTACCTTTACTTTCCCCGGCTTGGAAGTGTTTTATTTTCACTTTTTTAAGCAGAGCGTTGGTGTCAAAATCATTCTTAAACTCAACTTGAAACGACAAATTTGTTTAATGCGTCGGGAGCAAACCTGGAAAATAAATAGATGAAATGGAGGCTTAGCGGGAGCTAAATCCCACAGCTGATGGGGACCTGAAGTGTGCGGATTACATGCGAGCGCATTAAACAATGTCCCTAAATATGCATTGAAATCCGTAAAGCATGAAAGCATCTTGTCATGTGGCATTAGCATTCAGAGGTGCGTGTCAGACGTCTTGCGCTGCACTGGGGTGTGCTGCGGTGTTAAATGTCAAACCCCAGAAAGATTTCCTGACGTCATGCTGTCGTGTCAACTTTGCTTCTTCAGAGCTCTTTATGGTTAAACCGTCACAAGAGCACGAGCTCGGTTACAGATTCTGCTGAAACAAGGTTAATGGAATAAATAAGGAATAAAGGATATGGAAGAATTAAGGAAAGTGAAAAAGAGAGCGAAGCTTCTGCTACTACTTTAAACATGAGGAGAAAAACTGTCACAAGGATTTTGACAGCAAAGCAGCATGATTTCTCTTTTAAGTGCAAGATGGACCAGATATATAAGAGGTGTGATGCTAAACACCAGCAAAACAACAACACCGTAGTGCAACCACATCCACAGAGTCATGTCAGCGTCACACACTGAGCATAAACAGCCAGAACCAAAAGAGGACAGCGCGGGAAAACATGCGACATAAGATACTGAAAACAGAAGCTTTTACACACAGACACACCAGAACTGAGAAGACCATCGAATATAAAACATTGAATCGTATAAATCCTTCCATTTAAAACATTAAAGTTAATAGATTTTTCATTTTAAAGCATTAAAATGCATAAATCTTGAATAAACTGTCTGATTCTCTGCCTTAGAATTTATCCGATTCTTCAAAGAGAATTCAGGAAATATTTCAAATTATACACGAACAGGATGTGATCAAGGTATAAAGCATGTCAGACGGTTTACTCGCATGCTCTTTGAAAATATGAAATAAATGATCCAGTCTGGGGGCCTAATATTACTGGAGTCTAATGTTATTGCCAACGATTGTCAAAGCCACCAGCCATCAAAAAATGTCTCAAAAAGATTTCAGGAAAATATAACACAAATGTTCGGGTCGACAATTTCCAAGAGGTCAAGCCACAGAATATATATGACAGAACTGAGAGTATTAACCCCCTCTGACCGAAGGGAGAAATGAGCCATACTGTGCTTTATATGGCCATACATCATCTTTGTCAAGTCCTGACAGCGTTTTATCAGATCTAACCTTTAGCAGCCTCTATTACGAGCGCTAACATGCTCAGCTCTGATACAAGAGCGCCGCAGAGAAAACCTTCATCCGCTCTCATATTAAGATGCACATTCAATACAGACAATTAATGATGCACTGATATTAAAATCCTTGGCCAAAACCCAAAACTCGAACGAAAACAGAAACTGTTCATTTGGAATAGCCATCAACTCTATTCATTAATAATATTTCAATCCATTGGACTTCAGCTTGTATGACTTAATTATTTCAATAAACTGCAGAAACAGCCAGTTGCATGTTTGCTTTGATGAAAACACGTGCGTGCATTAGGTGAAACAGCCTGAACGACGCAGGTTTGTGCGTGATTTGAGCTTAATTTATGATACCTCAATAATATGACAAATTGTATTCCTGACTTTAAATGTTACTGAAACGCACCTTTGATCCTCAGCACTTGGAATCACTGGAAATAACTGATTCAGATTCAGCAATAATGCATAGTGTAATTTATCCTGTGATGAAATCAAATAATAGTCAGGATTTTTTTTTTTTTTTATCAAAACCCTGACAGTTTATTGAGCCTTCACACAAAATACTAAAAAAACTTGAATATGTGTTTTATGCATTGTATCATAGTTAACACTTTCATGGCTCGTGTAGTCTGATATAGTAAGAATATAGAGGAAAAAACCTCTTGATTTTATTCAGAGACTCAAACTGAGCAAAAATATGAATTTGCTGCAGAATCAAGTAAAGCTGAGCTGCTTCAGTCCAGTAAGTGTTCATCTGGAGATATTACTGCAGTTATTCTGACCTTTACTTGATCAAAATCAGTCAAGATTTGACACGTGAAGCTTGAGCTGAAGCTGGACGTTTGTACAATTACACTAAAAGAGCTTTGACTGGATAAAACACTCTTAACTCTCAATCAGAGACAGAAGGTGTGGAGTTTGATCATGTTGATTATTCAGAGACATTAGAAATTTGACTATCAAATATGATACAGTAGCTTTATAATGTCACTGAAGCCAAAATGAATATGCGTGATGACAAATGAGATTTGAGGGCGAGAGTAAATGATGACAGAATGTTCATTTGTGTGTGAACTATTTCTTTCATATAAAACTCAAACAGCTTATGAAAGGACACCGTCGCTCCCAGCAGTCACGCAAGAAGAGTCGCATTTCATTACGTGACACATTTAACCTCAGCCGCTTCCACTAAAACATACACAAGCCTTATTATGTGCTTAATATTCACTATCAGCTGAATAATTTTTAATGCAACTTATAGCCGAGTAGATGGATAACTCAATTATGCGCACATCCGTCACGGAGCCTGCCGAAGCCGGCTGAGATTGATGGGAAGGTGAAGCCGGCGGATCTTGAGCGTCAGATCAGTGAACAGTCTCTCTGCTTCGCTCTTTACAGGAGAAGCCTCATTACCCATGACTCCACTGACGAGAGTTTATTACGAGGTTAGCGTTTTGGCCACACTATTGTTTGGATGATGAATGCGGCTGCTGCGAGTTTTGGAGAGGAGATTAGTTGTGTTGTTTTTCACTTGGTTCTCAACACTTAAAGGAGAAGGAGGAATAATTAACGGCGCTTGCAAACGCTGCCATTTGGTGCAGACGACGGAAATGCTTGAAAATAAGCAAATCAGGAGTTGTGTCACTCTCATGCGCCGCACTAATTGAAAACATGGCGGCGATGCTGGGAAGGTCACTGGAAAGGAAACTCGCTGACCTTTTCAATATTTCTCTCAAACTCATATAAACAGAGGAGATGAAGTAACTTGCGACGGCAAAGGGCCGGAGCTCCAGAGCACATGATTGTCTGAGTGAGAGGAGACGACGGGAAGGTGGACACGGGCGGTCCTTTGCTCCCAGAGCACTGCAAATGTCAAATGTAAATGTCAATTAAAAATTACAAGCAGCTCTGAAAGGTGCACTCTGAAGGGCCTGACATTTTTTTTTTTGACATGCCAAAGTTTATCTGACAAGGCAGCGCACAAACATGACAGCATGTGACGTGTCACGTCTAAACACACGCACACACGTGAGGATCATGCTGAAGATGTGATCCATACGACTGCAATGGAGCCGCAGCGCATCAGATCAGATGGATAGAGTGACCTCTCGTGATGGATCGTAACAGACAAAAGGATGTTTTTATGCTTTCAGTCAAATAGAAGCACGTTCCATTCGTTTCCCCCAGAGCTTAAAGAGTATTAGTCATATTGTGTGGTTAAACATGGACCTACTAGTAGAGACGGTTCAACTAGTCCACTGAATACAGTAGGTCTGTTTACATGGCATTTTAATTTTAAGTTAACCAATATGTTTGACTGAAAGCATAATTTAAAGTACTCTATATCGCACGCACGCACGCACGCACGCACTCACACACTCACACACACACACACACAC